GCATAAGCCAAGGGCAGGAAGGCAGTCCAGTTCTGTGGGAGGGGTCTGTAGAACTTAGAAGGTCTGCTCAGTCAGCAGTTCTCACTCTAAGAACCCGGAAGACGCTTGGGACAGGTGAGAGGTGCTCTGCAAGGTGAAAACTATTTTTATAACAGTACTCAAACATTACTCACCTATTGCATTCCCATTCTCTCACAAGTGGATAGTGGAGTTTTTCAGAGGCAAAATGATGTGTGTTGATGTGAATGAAATGTGTCCATTTGGAAGATCTGCATACCTCAGTGAACTGGTCTAATTTTCCAGGTGATCCGTGCCTGGTGTGACAAAATCCTGCATGGTAAAAAGTCTGTCCTAAGTGCAAGATAAACCAATGAATTTTAATATAAAAGATTATAAAGAGTCCATTGATATGTTTCAGATTCCAAATTGCCCTATCCTTTAAGAAACTACCACTTGTCAAGTATTGGTATAATATGAAATAATTTCCACAATTAGCTTGAAATGAAGGCCCCATTTTTTCCCTGTACTTCAAATAACATATCGTAGCAAATTGAGTTTAGAGACACATTTGAGAATTATATTGTTTTCTGTTAAGCCAGACATGAAAGACATTTGCAGAAATGTAAATTAGTATCATTCTTCTCACTAACTTTTCTGTTTGATGAATGTTGTCATTTTTCCATAAAGATATGCCATTTTTTGTAACATGCAGTGGACATAATTATTATGTATACTAAATAAATTATTATAAATATAAATGGGCCAAAATGCATACTCTCTTCCCTCTTAGAGATTTGCAATACATATTAATACATCAACAGCCCTCAAAAGTGTTTCCCAAATTTATTTCAACCTTTTAAATCCTCTTTTTATCTTTGGCATAATTTAATGTTCCACAGTGGACTACAGCATCCCATGGAACACACTGGCTAATATATGATATATGTTACTCTCTCCCTATTTTTCAAAAATAAAAAGCAAGATTTCACAGGTACTTTTCTTCAAATCCATGCTTTATTAAGAGGATGGCCCATAAAAGTTTACCAGCTAACCTAACTCTCTTTTAAAAAAGAAAACCACTCATATTTCATCCTATTATACTATTTTGCTTATAGTCTTCAAAGCTGTTTCTACTTATGTTTCCAAACTCATATGTTTTAAAAACCCTGTTTTGGATATTTCTGTGTGTTAATTAGTAGCATCTGCTCCTGTGTCATAAAACAAAGTGATCCCGTCCCACACTGATTGCCCAAATTGCAGGTTAAGTCCTGGCAGCCTAGCGGTGGAGCTATTACTACTGTTTGGTATTTTTAAATGGCAAAAAAAATACCATTCATGATGCATCTCATGGTTTTATAAAACACAGTCGCTTTTTGTAACAGAAGGATTTACAAATGGCAGTGGATTTTGTTGTATTTTAATGATATTTTCTTTCCAGTCCTTTGGTTTCCATTGGTTGTGGGCACAATGCTAACAGTAAAAGCAATAGTATTCCACAGAATGAAGAACATGCTCCTGACTGCTACATGCTGGGCTTTCCCCGCCTACAAAACAGGGTGATAGAACTACCAGCAAGTTCCTTTCTGACAACAATGCCATTCTAAATCTGTCTCGAGGTAGAAGTGAGGAGATCATTTCTTTCGCTTTCTGTGCTACATGTGTCTGTCAGGCAAAGAGTGGGAAAGTCTTGATTTGTTATAAGAATTAAAGGGACAATAGCCATCGTACTGTGTATAGTTCAAGAGCTTTTTTTTTATGTTTTGGCCTTGCCAGTTCCTACTTAAAAACTTAATATTGTTTAAATCCTTAGTGACTTTCTATTGCAACTTTGCTGCTGCTTCTGCTTATAACTGTTCAGAAAATTATCACAGAAATGCTTATAAAATTTCCCCTTATCACTTAAAAAATTCAAGGAGAAATTTCTGTGGCTGTCTTCTTCAATATCTTGTTTTTTAAAAACCACTGAGTAATTTTAGGGAGAACTCTTTACATGTGCCAAAGGACACTCAGTCTTGTAGGAATACCTATTGGAGCATTTGCAGACTGCACTGGAGATTCTCTCAGAGCTAAATTAGCCAGGTTAACCAGCCTGAAATTAAAGAACCAGGCGTTTACTCTTCACACAGCAAGGGACCACCTTCCCATCTTTTTTTTTAAATATATTTTTTATTGATTTCAGAGAGGAAGGGAGTGGGAGAGAGAAATAGAAACACAATGATGTGAGAGAATCATCGATTGGCTGCTTCCTGCACGCCCCACGCTGGGGATCGAGCCCACAACCCAGGCTTGTGCCCTTGACCCAGAGTCTAACTGTGACCTCCTGGTTCATAGGTCGACGCTCAACCACTGAGCCATGCCGGCCAGCCTCCTTTCCAACTTTTTTGACAGCTGAGTATAGATTGTGGTATATTTGGGAAATCAAAAATAGAAGAATTGTAGAGCTCTGTGGTAGGTTAAGAAGTAGGGAGAAGATGCACATGGACCATTGTTCGGATAAACTAGTGAAGGGAGCACTTTCTGCAGCGAAAGCTTGTTTATACAGCGACTCTCAGTGTTCAGGCATATCTGTGATGCTCAGGCCCCCGATTACATTTCTTTTTTCCTTTCTAGATGTTTGGTCTTATCTCTATTTATAACTTCACCTGGCAAATAGGAATGGCAGGGCAAAGGAGAGGAAAGGCAAGCAGTTTGTTTGGTTGGTGATTAGCAGACTACTGAAAAGTTTGCTGAAGAAGGGAGGTGTATTGAAGCTCTGCTTAAAATGAGGTGTGCAGAGTTTTTAGTGGTTTTCTTTGGATAAAAATCGTCTCATTCTTGTGGGACGATGTGTAATTGAGGGTCAGCTATAAATCACAAAATAAATCACTTCCAACTCCTTCACCTCGACAGGGATAAGAATGGAAAATCTTGTCATTGAGACGGTCCCTTTTTTCCCCTTTCTCCTCTACAAATAGTATAAGCCTCTGGGCATCAGACTTTGGCAGCCAGTGGAGGGCCCTGAGCTAATAATGGAGCTGTTCTGCTTCTCCAAGTTAGATTTTGCTCTACTTGGTGACAAGAATATAATCCCAAAATGAATTTCTTTCTTTAGGGCAAAAACAAAACAGAAAAAGAGAGAGAGTGTGTGTTTTCGATACCATGAAAAAGTGTTGTGCTTCTGGTAAACTTTTCAAACCAACACCACATTCCATTCTGTTCAACAACATTATGTCCAGTAAGAATCAATGGGCATGACCGATTAAACCCAGAGTCTAGTCAAGGCACAAATTAACTTGCTGTGTGACTTTAAGAGGTCCATCAACCTCTCTGGGCCAGCAGTTTTATTTGCAGAAGAATTTTGAACTAGATGACAAAGACCCTTCCTTAGAATACCAAGATACAGACCTGGTAACATATAAGAGAAAGGCAACAATTTATTTTTAGTAAAACAAGATTGATACCAGCCAGTAACTGGCAGTGGGCTTGCTTTAAATCCTCCTCTTCTCTCCAAATTCAGTTTTTACCAAAACTGTAACTAAAGACAGTTTTTCATGCTTTGAACTTCCTGGCTTATGTTGATTCGTATCAATACGTTACTTTTACACTTTTGAGTGGGAGCTGATTACATTTCATGAAAAGTGCTCAGATAAGGAATACAATCTTTACAACCCCACATTCAGTGAGAATTGATAGAATTGAGACAAGAAAAAAAGACTGTCCTTGTCAGGCAGTCGCTCCTCCAGCTAGACTGAAAATATAATGGTCTTATTCTCCACTCCCTTGTTTAAACATTAACCAAGAGCAGCTTTCTCCTCCTCCTCCAAAGTTTTAAGTGTCTCCATGAACTTAACCACAGTTATATACAACCCCCCAAAGTCCTTTTCAAACATGTCGCGTATTCCGTAAAGCAGTAGCTTCAGCAGTCTTTCAAGGAACTGATTTTGCATACAGCAGCCTAGAGAGGCATAAAAGTATACCAGCTCTACAGCTAGGTTATTTGATGGTGAGGTCTTGGTGATTGCCTAGGGACCTCTGGAAATGCATAGAGAGTAGACTTATGGTAGGAAGCAATCAGGTAGTTAGAGAACTGGGGGACAGCCAATGGACTTTCAGAATAGCTGAGGAAGAGCTCACCAAAGGCTGAAAAAGGATGCAAACATCTTTTGAAGACCGTTTCCCAGAGCTCAAATGGGCATTGTCAAAAAACAAACAGTGGGGTGGATTTGACTAAGCATCTGGAGCTAGGACAATGCCCTGTGACAAGTGAGCGTTTTTAAAACTCTCAGGCAGAAGCGAACTTTTCAGAGCGACCTTGTCACACACAGTTCGAAGGCGTAGGCTTTGCCAGCTGCTCTGAGTGGGGTGAAGAGGCATGCATATTTTAACCGTTCATTTCATATTCAGTGTGTTAAGTAAATGCTGCTTTCCAACTTGGGTGGAGAAGGTCTTTATCAAGATTTATCAGGAGTCAGAACGAAAACACTAATTTCTTGTTTGCAATGGAACATTTCTTCTCTCTTATACTTTATTTGTTTTGTTCAATCCCATTAGCCCTTTATTTAAAAATATTCATAGTGGTTCACTCAGTCTGAGTTTAATGGGCAGAATCAGGTGGATTTTAATTTGAAACAAAACTCTCTCCACTTTCTACTCTTGAGAAACTGCATTTCGGTATCTTTAATTATTTAAACATAAGGAATCCTTCTTTATTCACTAATTTCAATTAGTAAACTTGAAATTTGCAGACACATTCCCACTAGTGTGTATTATAATTTTCAGTACCTACCCAGAGAGTGGGAGTCTGCTTTGTTTCTTCTTCTCTGCACCCCGCCCCCCATCCAGTATTTTAGGTACCATATGTAGATCAGTTGCACGATAGCTTCATTCTGGTAATTAATATGCTTGTTTGAGGTTATAAAATATACATATGACAAAAGCCAGGGATTTCCCCCTGAATGTCAACTGACTGCTTCAAGTGGCATTCTCATTCTGAGTTGGTGTTTTGTTTTGTCTTACTGCAGCATATTGGAGCAAAATGAGAGAGTTTATTTTGAGACCTCCGAATTAGTGCTGCCACGGACCATGAGCAAGAGAGAAAGCGTGGACTTCAGCCTGCACGAATGGTCTTGAAACACAAGTGGTTTTGGGTAAGTCATCCGAAAGACTTGGACTTAAATTTCATCAGTCACCATTTATTTGGTGTCCCAGGACATCTTATTCAAGTGCATGGCTATTTCTCTACAGCCCAAGCCACAGGATGTTTGTGAAAGCTTTGTTCTATTGAAGGAAAGCGATGAAATTTACTTAGTTGTGTTTGTTTCTCCCATGTGCAGAATAATAGGATCTGAGTAGAATGCATTTGTCATTAGAAAAAGACCAGAGGGAGGGAGGGAGGGAGGGAGAGAGAGAACTCCAAACAACTAAACACACACACACACACACACAGACACACACACACACACTCACCAAACTACATTTCCAGATACTTCATTTTAGCTGAGAGCATAAGGCAGTGGTTCCCAATGTGGGGCACATGCCTCACGGGGTGGGGGGGAGTAATTTGATTTTTAAGGGGGGCAATTCGAGAATGAGTTATTAACAGTGAATTTTTTGCATTTCTTATGGTTCTAGGGGCCTCATATACAGTATATAAATATATATATATTGACATATTTATGCATTTCAGTTCTCTATTATATGTTTTGAAACTTTATTTGCTATTTTTTCATATCATTTTTTTAAACAATTTCTTAGTGATTTCTTCTTCAATACTTCAACTGTCCTTTTGTTCTTTTATTTTTCTCTTTCATGGATGCCATGTTCTTTGGAAGCTTGTTTAGACCAAATTAATGGCCTTTTAGGTGTCCTCCACGTGAATAGGAGTTCACTTTTTGAATAATAAGAATTATATGTCACAGGGGGAGCATCAGGTCTTTAGAGATGCTTAGGTGGGGCATGGCCCAAAAAGGTTGGGAAGCACTGGCATAAGGTATTCATCATACAAGAGACCTCAGATTCAATTTGATAGCAAGTTTGCGACCCTGTAATGAAGTGTTGGGATGGGCAAAGATGAGAAGCATTGGGAGTTTCCAAGTCCTGTTCAACAAATGTTTATCGAGCACCTTTTAACTAAACACGGTACCCCTGAATGACAGTCTTGGTTTGGAGTGAAGTTTAAACACTCTGAACTATAAATAAACAATTTCAAACCACATACCAAAATAATGTGGACTTCCAAGAAAGCTTTGTCAGCCTAGCTCATTGTATTTTTTGGAAATGGAGTCCCTAGGTGGAAGCCCAGTTCTGCCCACCGATTTTGGTGACCTCGGACAACTTACTCATCTTCTTGGAGTGAGTCACCTTAAAAACAGGAGGACATGACTCCGGGATCACCACAGTCTTATGCAAATTTAAAATTCAACAGTCCCCCCCTAGTGAAGTTAGTTAAATGATTATACTGCTTGATTGATATTTGCTCAACAGAATTTACTGTGTACCCCTAGTGCCGTGGTCGGCAAACCGCGGCTTGCGAGCCACATGCGGCTCTTTGGCCCCTTCAGTGTGGCTCTTCCACAAAACACCACATGTGGGCGTGCACGTACAGTGCAATTGAAACTTCGTGGCCCATGTGCAGAAGTCGGTATTTTGTGGAAGAGTCGGTATTTTGTGGAAGAGCCACACTGAAGGGGCCAAAGAGCCTCATGTGGCTCGCGAGCCACGGTTTGCTGAGCCACAGTTTGCCAACCACTGCTAGTGGGTCATCTCTGCAGAGGGGCTCTAAGATCAACCCATGTGGAGGAAAGGGTCAGGGGCGGGGCCCCCCTGCCTTTGGCTCCGATCTTGTGAGCCAGCCCTTTGGTCAAGCAGGCCTTGCGCGGTCTGTGGTTAATAATTTATTCCTTGCAGCACAGTGTTAAATGAATATAACATTTGAATACATGAGATAGGCTTGTGTTGAATGATTGTCCCTTTTGGTTGGGGATCTGTTTCCTTCTGTGTTTGCTCTCGCCGTGTTATGGGTTATCTGCCAGTCCTTGAACCCCGTAGAGCCCCAAACCTTGAGCCATAGAGCCCCAAACCTTGTTTAACATTGATGGCTCAGATGTCACTTGTTAGCAAGTGGCTGTCTGCCTCAGAGCGGTACATTATTTGGGTTTCATAACGGCATTTTTTTTTCTCTTACATATGTTAAATTATGAAGTGCAGGAAACCACATAAATGCGACAGAAAAAAAATGCAAACTGTGTCATCTGGAAATGCCAGTTTTATGATTCTCCTGGTGACACTGTCCTCCCTGCAATCAACATCGGAAGCTTCTCTACCTGTTCAGCAGTGTCTTCTATCCCAGGCCAGCTTCATTTAGGCCGCAGTGTAGCCACCGTGGCAGGCTGAATCAGAAGGTTTGGTTAAGATGATTGCATGGGGCTGTCCCTTCCTCTCCAAGTTCTGCCTGACCACTAAGCCCGACTCTCGTTCACAAGGTCTTTCCTGAATGCTCACGGCTTCACTGCCCACCCTTCTTTGTGAACTCCTAGAATATGTAGAGCTCGCATCATAAAAGAATGTGTGGCTCTGCCTTGCTTTTGGGTGGTTGCCATCACTCCATTCGAGTTGCAGACTGCTTGAGGGCAGGAGTCAGATCATAGCCCAGTGTTTCTCCAAAGCAGCCCAGCTCCAGGGCCTCCTGATAGAATCACCTGGCTGTGTGTGTTAAAGTTGCAGATTCAGCAGCACCAGGCTTGAGGAGTCAGAATTGCTGGAGATATTGAGCCCAAGAAACTCACCGCAGATATCTCTCCTGCACACTGAGGTTTGCTAACGACTGAGTCTGCTTCTTCACCCTCTTCTTTGCCTTCTCACCCGCAGCATTGGGCCCAGGTCTCAGCTCATCGTAGTTGCCCAGGAAATATTTGCTTGTTGATCTGAGCATCATCAAACCATGATGGTTGCATTCACTCTTTCATGGCCTCGCCTTTCAGGATGTGGAGTCAGCATATTATCTGAACCCTTAAAACCCCCAGTTTATCTAAATGTGTAGTGTTCCCCCCAGGTCCAAGGCTCTTTTATGCCCCTTTCTTTTCAACCTCTGACCCTGGCTATCCTTAGTGATAGCGTTTCCCCCTGCCTGCAGCGATACAGCAGGAAAAGCAGATCCAGGGAGTTCATCTGGAGTGAGGGGGTAGCAGAGACCTGAGGTACCCAGAAGCCTTATCCTTGGCTCCCAAAGCCACACTTGCTGCCATTGGCAGGTTATTTTGAATGAGATTTCTTTCAGCTGTTAGGGCTCGCCAGTGGTAAGTTTCGGTGGCCAGAGAGCAATCCCATTGCTGAAAGGGATAAAGTTAAGCTGCAATGGACACACATCAAAGCGCCCACGGTGGCAGCAGCCGATTCAGGATTCAAATCGATGTTAGCAGACTGCGGGGGTGTCTCTTGGCCCCAGCAAGGGCAAGCCTGGCCTTGAATGATGCTAAATAGATTTGCAGGGTGTCCTTGCTCTGAATGCCCTTGCTGGTGGCTGCAGCCCTGGTAGTAGATATGACAGTTCAAGTGGAAAACCAAACAGAAGAACTCAGAAGCCCAGCCAGCCTATAAAGGAACAAGTGGGGTAATCTGGAAATTTATTAGCTGTTAAGGTAACCACAACCCAGTGCATTCAACCATTTTCTGCATCTTTTCTGGCCACTTCATAGTTTTCCTCAGAGAGGTCGTGAGGATCCTTAACTGAGTGTGTGTTAAAAGGCGCACTCATGCACAGACTGGAAAGCATCCTCTTCTGGGTCTGCACCAAGTTTTGACGATGGGAGGCAGCGGAAAGGTGTAACCAAGTGGATCTGGAACCGGCTTTTTCTCATGTTCTCAGCGAAGGGAAGGAAAAACAGCAGGTTCCCAAAGCAGTGTTAAAGGCAATAGAGGCTTTTTAATATGTGCTTTATGGAGACCTGGCTAGATTTTCCTCTGCACAGCTTCCTCCAGCTGGGTGGTGGGGAGAGGGCCGCTTTGGTGACGCAGGAGGCGGATGCATAGTCTTTCAGCTATGGAAGGGAGATGCACAGTTGTTGATGTATGTGTCTTTGAGCCTTTGTTGGAGGCTTCCAGGTAGAGGAGTAATGAGGAACAAAATTAAAGAAGTGATAAAGCACATGATTTTAGCAGAATACCAGATGCTGGCTGGAACTGCTGTTTGGAGGCCTTTATCCACGCATGGGATATTTCCTTAGCAGTAGCCATCTGCGCTTGGCAAAGAGAAGAATTGGTTCTAAAAGAGCATTTGTCTGGTGAGAAACTATGTCACTTGTCCTGCTGACCATGACACCCCCTTGAGCACTGCAGGATTTCCAATGGTCACCTAAACCCGGGGAGCTGCTTTCACAAGGCAGATACAAGTAATTAAAGAGCCAGGCCTGTGTCTTCCCTGAAGACCATCATTAGAAAGCTCTTTAATGCTTTCCAGCTTAGGGGAGTCAGATACCCATCACGTACCTGAGCCTGCGTTCCGTAGAGCATACCCAGCATACGCCTTCTGTGAAATGTGCCATAACTCACTCTTCTTGCTGATGCTATCACGAGCTAATTGCATCAGTCCTTCAGAGGAGCCCTGTGGTTTGGTATAACTGTGAGTAAAACCACACCGGTTCAGGAAATGCTGTGCATTGTCTTATAAGAGGCATCATCAAAACAGATGTTGATTTACTTGGAAGATACCTTTCCTTGGTGACAGTTTGAGAGCTTTGAAGGGAGGTGTTTGATGTGCATCAAAATAAGTTAGAATTAAACTGCCACGCTGGCACACTGCTGGAGTGAAAACTGAAAGAAACTCGCCAGTGTTTGCTCCCGAACACGCTCTCCCCTAAGGCATCATCATGCCATGACATCATTGTCAACTCTGCTCTGCAGATGATCATGGCTCTCTCTTTCTCTTCTGAGTTAAGATTATTGGTTTCCAACTTCCTCCAAATGCCTTCAATTGGATGTTATATAGGTGCCTCCAAGGTGAGGCTAAACCTACACTGTCCCTTTCCCGGTTCCTTGTTTAGAGAGACAAGATCAGCCAGTCATTGGTGCTGGACACCAACTTCTCCTCCTGTGTAGTTCATCCCTTGACCACATGCTGTGGTTTTACCTGTTAAATATTCTACTCACTCTT